GGGAATTTTGCATCTGTACGTTTTGATTTTTATTCTCTTTCTCTTTCTCTTTCTCTTTCTCTTTCTCTTTCTCTTTCTCTTTCTGTCTTTCTTTTATTTTATTTTCTTAATTTTTTTCTTCTTACATACCAACACCCCTCCTCCTACCCACCCATTCCATACATCATGTTCGCATTATCTTTGGATCCACCTTTCACTTCTCTGGGTTACTACGTGAGAGTACATATTCGAAGATCATACTATTTGTTCAGGATGAACGTAGGATGATGTTTATCAAACAAAAAGACTCTTATCAGGTTTGTATTCACTCTATTTGAATCTACATCTGAATAAATCTGTTTCATTAGCGCTTTGTTTTCCCTTTGAAATCTAAGAATATGCGATAACAAATAAGTGCGCATATGCGCGTTAGGAATTTCGATGTGCGAAAACAACAAAACTTCATCAAACAAAAGGCTTTTGTTAAAATCCATTTGCGCAAAACGTTTAACTCGAACTATTTTGGTCTCAAGGGAAGCGCGTACGAACGAATTGAACGCGTTATGAAATATTGTCTGAGACGTTGAAGACTCGAATCAGCTTTAAAGCGCTAGAAAAGCAAACGAATAACTGTGTTCTAATTCGTACAAGACAAGGACAAAGGTAATATGAATTCTAAAAATAACCTTGTGTGTAGATGAATAATGTCGACGTCTTGTAGCTTTCCTGAAGTGACCTAGTTGAGTTAGAGTTAGAATAGTTGGGATGCTAGTTGCATTTCAGTACTTGTTTATTTCTTGTAGCCATCCTCAGTGTTCTTTGAGATCGAATCTTATCTATAAGTGAATTGTCTCAAGATTCTATAAATTTTTACATTTGGTATCCATTATTGAAAAAAAATTCTTAAAAAAAAATACCACGCCGTTGACGGTAGTGGGCTTCCTGTGGTGTTTCACTTCGGGACGCAAGCCACAGGAATCCCAAAAAGCCACATATGATACAAAGGATTTTAACGGATTTTTCTAAGTATCCAAAACTTTCTTTTAAAACAAGCACATAAAGTGTTTAAAAAGCTTTTACATAGCTAAGTTTTATTTGAAAAGGTGGTAAAACATTACACAAAATCATGAAAATGCTAGAAATGACATACCGCTGACCAAAACCTTTTTTCCTCAAAAGTTACCACCCCCATAAAATCTTAAATATAGCTGTAATGACAAAAATAACTTCAGAATAATGTTACGTTAATCCTTAGCTTTATAATGAGTTGTGTTTTGTTCGAAAAAACTCGATATTTCGATTTACCAAAATTTGGACCCACTGAAAAAAACACTTTTTTAGGGTTTAAACTTCAAGCAGGTTGTTTTTTTATGAAATAAAGTAAAAAGTCAAATTATAATGACGCACAGATTTAAAGCTTATCTATTGCTTTCTAAAGAGTCTGAAATGTTTTGGATCGAAAGTTTCTTTCTATTTTTATTGAGCTGTTTTTGATGGGTAGAGGCATTTGGGATACCTGTGGCGACATTTTGATTAAGGTAGCAGTTTATGATCTCAGTTTTCGTAGGGAAWTAAACGAATTGGGCAAATATTTTTATATATTCATATAGAACAATCAAAAATCCTTCTAACAGAAGTATTTTTGTTGAGAAATAATTCTCCAATTTATTCAGAAGAGATAAATTTAAAAAATGTATATCAAAAATTAAAATCCAAATTTATGATGATTTTTCGCATTTTGCCAAATGCATCCCTGGACAGATATTCAAGTGGTGAAAATTTTGAACTCGAATTAATGACCAAATCTCTCAAATTGCTTCCGCATCCTCCCAGTACTCCTTGTGCAAACCTCCCACTCCTTGGGAAAACACCTTTTTAAATGAATTCATTTTTGGTGTTTTCAGGCTCCATACTAAATGACTGTAGATGTTGTCTGACGAGTTGTTCCTATGATCTACATTGCCGGTAATGTCCATGCTTAGCTGTCCATTTTAAGGTAAGATATTATATAGTTAAAAATTAGACAATAATTTCTTACTTGAAAATTCTCGCACAGTTACTTCACTGCGCACATAAAGCAATACGCTTGTAGTTAAAAATAATCATTGTTTTCATAATATGCAAAAATACTGCACGAGTCTTATGACATACATATACTGTTCAAGAAAGTTACCAGGATTATTATGTTTTAGTCAAAGAATTTCAAATAAAGAAGTTCAATATTATACATAATTATCGAGTGTAATTGTGAAACATTGGGATACCTGTGGTAAGATACTAAAATTTCAGTTAAATTCAATATTAATTTTTCTTTAAAAAAAGGGATATAACAGAAAAGATATGGCTTAATCATCGTAAATTCGTTGTAAAAATTGGAATTCTCTAATGATTTAACTCTTAAATCGTGATCTTAACCTACGACATTGAGCAAAACGTCACCACAGGAAGCCCAAGCGCCTCCACCCGTCAAAAAACGCTTAATAAAAAATGAAAGAAAGCTTCGATCCAAAATCTCTTACACTTGCTATAAAGTACTAAATAAGCTTTAAATCTGTGCCCAAAATGTTTTTAAATATTTTCTTTATTTCATAGAAAACAAGCCGCTTGAAGTTGGAACCCCAAAATAAGCGTTTTTTCGGTTGGTCCAAATTTTCGTAAATCGAAATATTGAGCTTTTCAAAACAAAACACAACTCGTTAGAAAGCTAAAGACCTATCCAACATTGTTCTGAACTTATTTTTTTTGATTAGAATTATATTAAAGATTTTATAGGGGTCGTAATTTTTGAGGAAAATCAGTTTTGGTCAGCGGTATAGCGCTTTTAGCATTTTCCTCTTTTTTGGTTCTTTTTAAACTTCTTTGTCAATAAAACTGCGTCATATGATAGATAGATATATGCATCATATGAGAGCATAAGAAAAGTTTCGAGTTTATTTGGTAATGTGGAGAAAAACGAGTTTAAATACTACACATTTTGGGTATCCTGTGTATTGTATGAAGTGCGAATAACACAGGAGGCCCAGCACGCCACTTTTTAATTAATTTTTTTTTTCTCACTTTTAAATCCCAATTGAGAATAATCCCTTGTTGTTGTTTTTCTATAGGGATTTGGTGTGTTGGAACTGGTTGAGTCCGCCATCTTGAAGTCTTGGTGAATCAAGAAACGAGAAAGAACGCTGAATAAGTCAAGAAATAAGCCGTATTAAGTCCCGTGGATGTCTGGAACAAAGGTAAGTTGAATTATAGACTTGACTGAATATCGGCGAGCACCATAAAACTAAGAAAATGCAGTGAAATGTTATCATTTTCTGTTAGTATTCTGCGTCTGTATATTTCACGATTCAGAATAATCTATTTTCCATAAATGCGTCTTTTTCCTTCATGAAGGCTTCTCAAACGCGCGCAAGATTCTGTTTCATACTTGCTATTTCGACTGTCTTGACTGGCTTTTATTTAAGTATAAAGGGGTTAGCTTAGTTTTAAGGCTAAATTTTTGTTATGACTTTATGCGCATAATTAACAACAAATGCAAACTGAGACCGCAAAACAAAACAACATTCCTAGCACAATTCCCTTTTACTCTGCTCGTAGGTTAACTACTTGCTTACGCCGCGCAAGTTTGCGCGCAATTTTTCTTTCTTCAAGCACAATCTTAAAAAGGTATTTTTCCTTCATGTCAATTAGAATTGCGCATTTCTCATCTTTTTATTAATTTACGGATGCCAAATTGACAATTTTTATATTTTTCTTTATAGGAGGCTTGACGGCAAAGTTTAATATCCCAGAAAGGCGAGACCAATCAAGAAAGACCAAGGAGTTAAATCAACCGTTTTTTGATATTTTCTTATTTTAGATTTCAGTAATACCGTAAACCTCAACGTGAAAAATAAGCCACTACGAAAATGCCCCATGACTTTATTAAAACCAAAAAGGCACGGTAACGTTGGGGTAATATTTAATCCAGGGGTTTTTTTTTTTTTTGGAGGTTTATGGTATGTTTCAATTGTATTTCGTTCTTTTTGAAAATAAATGATTTTTGACTATTTTTCTGTCTATGATATTACATGGAAAACCCTTTTTCAAAGTCACACTTTTTTCCCGCCAAAAAACTTAGAAAATTTTCGGTCACTTCATGCAACTTTATTTAGCGCGCTTCTTTTCGACGTCGCGAATTTTCCCGCCAGAAAAATTAGGAATGTTTGGAGTATTTGCCATAACCCTCTTGGTTACGCCTTTAGTTCCTGAACCTCATGGTCACTTATCAATATTCCTCACGTGCCTATCTTGTCACCTTCACCCGCCCTCCTGATCCCCTTCTTTTGTTCTGCTCATTATCCCATTCTTTCGTTCAGACAACAAACAAGACATTAATTATTTATAAAAATTTTTATTTGCTCATTAATACCACGCATTACAAGCAATATGTTTTAAGGAACATTCAAACCTTTACCCTCAACAATCTCACTGACAGTCTACAGCACAGATACACTGGATACATGGCAAGAGGTAAGTTGAAGGTACAGGTTCAAGTCCCAGGTAAGGTCTAGGTTCTCAAATTGGACAAGCAAGAAAACAGTCACCCACAAGCCAGGATCAAGGTAAGTCAGATATCCACAAACAAGGTAGGGAGGATTGGCTCACAAATTGGCAAAAGAATTCAGAAATTGGCTTTAAAAGTAAAAAAAATTCAAATTGGCCAAAAAAAATATAAAAAAATTCAAATTGGCCAAAAAAAAGAAAAAAAATGTGAAAAAAAGCCATAAATTTTGAAAAAATATATACTAAGTCTTTTTGCAAATTTTTTTGACCCTAGGGTAATTAGACGAAGGACCCTGAGATCAAAAGTTCAAACCTACCCTCCCCTTAAGAAAAAGTGCCCCCCAACAAAGTGTTGAGGGACACCCTTAAGGTTTTGGAATAGCAAGAATTAATGACCTCAGGGACAGACTATTTGATTGGGATTCTAAAGACAGAGGGGTTGCTTGAGTAAAAGACTAGTACAGGATGCTAAAACAAGGCATAAAACTGGTGTTGTCTTTCAAAAAATAAGTGAAACCCTCTCCAAAGCTAGTGTGCTAAACATAAAATGCCGTTTTCTTATTTGGTAACTACTTTCAACACCACCCTTTTTAGCAATTTAACAACAAAATGTTTAGGGATCTAATTCAGGAAAGTCTTTATAATAGACAACACCAGTTTTATGCCTTGTATACAGAATCACTAAGGACTGGTCAACCCAGTGAACTTTTCATGTGGTGTCTGCAATTTTGGTTATAATTTGGAAATAAATTGGCCTCTCAATAAAATGATTTTGGATTTTAAGAAAAAAATTGTTACATGAAAAGTTCAATGTCTTGACTCTATGATCCTTACTGGTACTAGCAGATTAAGACTGTAGAGCAGTTGATATAGGAGTATAATAAAGCATGGCACATGACAAGCCTGGTGTACTCCAGGAATAGAGTAACAAAAGCTGATAAATAGGTTGTCTCAGTAAGGCATGTATGTACCATGTTTATTACAATCCTAAATGAACTGTTTTACATTACAACAAGAGTGACAAATGGTATTATAWAATCYTATCAAATTWATTCAATKRTGAYGAGAAYGATRTTGTATTTCATTTCTCTTGTATTGATCATGCAGGGAGCGATTGCTTAGTCTTCCTAGCCAAAGGCTCATAATTATGCTTCTGAGATACCAGACTGAACTGGAATTAAGATCAGAGTGATCCAAATCAATGAATATTGTAAGTTCAATTAAAACCGATAATTTATATAACATGCTGACAGATGCCAATCAAATATTTTAGTATAAAGTAGATGCCAATTTGTTTTGTTATGTTTAAGAATACCATTTATCACGCTTGTGTACTTTTACTCAAGCAAGACCTATGTCAGACTATGATATGAACACACCAAGCCACATGGAGTAATATCACCCAAATGAATTAAGGCCGAAATGATATTTTAATTTCTGCATATCAAATGATATCACAACCCAAKCAATACAATTTGGAAGGGTATGTCAGACAAATCRATAATTTGGACACAATTTTAGACAAATTTAAACAAAAGCCTGGAAAGTTGGCATAAATCAGTCTGATCAAAATAGGCACCACACAATACAGGATTGATGTGGCCAAGCCAAAATATACAAAATGTACATTCGTAAGATCTAAGCAGACTTATGTGCACAGAATCCATACTTGACCATTGGTGTGTTCAATCACAGTCAATAATGTTTACATTTCACCACTTTAAGAGCACATGAAATAGTTTCTGTAGGAATATTTCATGTTGAACAATGCACAAACATGAGAAGCAATTGCCACATATAAACCTAGTCTGTCTTAACATTGCATGTCATGTCAAAAAAAAATTCAAACTTTTTCAATCTGCTTCTGCTACCTTGAAATGTTCATTTGTCAATGAAGTTATTGAATGAAAAAAGACAGGTTTCAGTTAATTGTTAAACTAAATTGAATCTTTTAATCTTAACAGGATCCTATATGTTGCAATGCTTTCATACTAGTCTTGTGCACACCAAAAGCTATCCATATTCACCTGTACCACAAGAATTTTATCTTAACAAATTTTTCTGTAAAAATTAGAACCAGCATCTTTCAACTAATATTATCCTCAGTGGCTAAGAAATAATAAGAAAAATCCCAATTTAATAGTACTAAACAGCCAGACATTTTAATGATCGAATTGTGAACTGAACCACAATAAGTTTGGTTGAAACAGAGGATGATTAGTGGAAAGAAAACCAGTGAACTGAATTAGCTGATAAACCATGCACTTTGACTTACTGTGAATGTGGATGGAGACCAGGAAGCAGGCAGAAGATCATCATAGCAAAATAAATATATAYAGTAATCAAACAGCAATCAACAGCAGACTCTCACTAGATATGATTAGAAATTGAAAAATAGGAGATGAAAGATCAGACAAAACTTGGAAAATCAATGCCAAACAATTATTAATGATAATGATATGTGATTTACATGCAATTCTGATGCAAGTTAGAAATACAGTAGACAGTCTAATCATATAAAGTGAAAGTCTACTGAATCAAATGCAAAGGTAAATCACTGAATTGTGAAAAAGGTTATTTCTTAACTTTGTACACTGATGCAAAAGTGATACCAGGTAGCTTAATTTTGAGCTGAAATTTGAAGGATACGAATTATATAGAAAGGAAAAAAGAAATGTCTCAAATAATTCAAAACAGCAATTTGCAATAATTTGGTGTTTAAAAAAAAGAAAATTTTAAACCATTTTTTGCACAAAACCCAAATGAGTTTTTACGGAAAGCATTTTTGCACAAAATTTAGAAAGAAGCTTTTTCATATACATAAATGATATCATTCAAAACAATGTCAATCAATAGAAAATCAGAGTCAATCAATCAATAGGAAAAAAGACAAGCAAATCAATGTTAATGAAATAAATAATAATGATAATTCCACGGAGCCATGTAGAGCCAAGCCAGCCAGATCTTGTATCCAATGGATATGTGCATAGTTTATCAACATACAGTAAATATATACCAAACAAGTTAAATGAGTAAAGGGTATGGTCACTCCCTTTACAATTTGCTGCTTAAAGTGGTGAAAATGATCTACATACAACGAGTCATTCTATGTAGATAATATTGCATAACTAACAATAATTCTCCATAACAGGGAAAGTGAATATCAGTGTATATTTACCCAGACCAAGTATTAACTAATATTCAATTAGCCCAAGGAGAATTATTGGTTTAGTAGAATCACACAGGTGAAAAACAAAGAAACTAAAAACACAGTAACCTTGTCTTCACCTGGATGATTTTACTTACAATGAACTCTACCACATTATAATCATTATATCTAAGAGGTTCTTCTTCTGGTCTTCTCAGGAGTCTTGGTCGTCTTSAWGCTGATCTGAATAAGAAATAACAACACCACTATTAGYATRATGGTTTTAAAGATACACAAGAATATAAAGACCTAGGGGTACCCCCCAGAGGACACTTGTCAACCACACTCCAGTCAGTCTTACTATCTAAATATCTTGCTTCTATACTAAATGTTTTTCGTTTTGTTTTTGTTAATAAATTAGTTAATAAAAAGACTGAATAAAACCAATCGAAACTTATTTAGAAAGAATTTAATTACTGTATTAGCTTGAGAGGGTAGTATTTTAAGCTCAAGTTTTCTTGCATTAAATTTTCAAATTTCAAACACGTGAAAAAAACTAAGGCATTAAATATAAAATAAAACTACTTTCAAGTTCTCTTCCTAAATTTAAAGCCAACTAAGGAAGGTAATTCGTCGTAAAATTATCAACTTTTCTAAGAGTTTAAGCAAAAAAAATACGACCACGTGCAAAAAAACCAAAGAAGGTCAGTAAGAAATGCTTATTTACTACGAGAAAAAACCTAGGAAACCCTCTTAAAAACACTAGAGGGAAAGAAATAACCTTTATCTTTACATTTTGACGGCTTAGTGTAGTTAAGGAGCATTTCTTACCGTAAAATGGCTATTTTTTCACCGCAGCCTTCTTCTTCAATTCTACAATGTCTTCTTCTTCTTGGACAGTAATGACCGCGATGCATGATGGGACCATGTGACATTGGTACACAGGCTACCCAAGAAGTGGAATCTGCAATGTATAACTTTGGCGGAAAGCCCCAATGGAATACCAATGTTTATATGCCGCAAGATGGATAAATAAATAAGATAACATGAATTTATATAAGAATAAGACACAAGAACCTACTGCCTCAAAGACTCCTAAGCTTAGTAAAAAAAATAGAAAAAAGGGAGAAAAAAATCGTCTGTCAGTGAGTGGAAAATGAAAAAAATGAATAAAAATAAAAAGCAATCATTGGATTGACTTAAATTATGCGTATATTAAGGATTATCCACTTTGTACTTACTACGTACCAATCGACCTCTCGGTCTTCTACTTTTAAGTACAAAG